TGTTATCACACCGACTGGAGCTGGCAAAACAATTCCTTTCGAACCTTAGCCAATTTACCGACACATGAATGCACCTCGAAAGTTGCAGCAAGAAATCGCACCACTCGGTACGATTGGTGGGTATATACACACGACAAAATTAGCGGGCAATGACTCATTGCCCACTACCGGCCTATTTTCCACGGGGTACTAGCCTCAAAATTTATACTTGCTTCTGTCCTCACACCATCAGTGTTATCCAGCATCAAGTTCATGGCAAAACTGGCATCCTTAGCACCATATGTTAGCGGACCAGTTTAGTCGTCAACACATTTGTGAAAGAGGATTAGTAACAGAAACGTATGAGAGCGATCATCTATGCTAGTGAAGGATATGTTCAAAATGTCCGCCGGCGTTCTGCTTGCAGTGTAGGAACCGCATGATGCAATTGGCGGGCACTTTCTCCAATATATTCCTCGTGATCGCGCGACATTCGTTCACAATATTTTCTTTCAATTGGTCCAATGTACGCGGCCTTGTTTTGTACACTCACCGCTTCAGATAGCCCCGTAGAAAAAAGTCCATGGGGTTCAGATCTTGTGAGCGAGCAGGCCACTCCATTGGTCCACCGCCTCCGATCTAATGGTGACCAAATCTGTCGGTGAGGTAAGCACGTACGGTTTTATCAGATGTGCAGGTGAACCATCCTGCTGCCGCCAAACGGTACTGCATGCCCCTTTGGCCTCCAACTAGGGAAGCTCAAGTCTCTGCGGCATTTTCAAGTACGACGACACGGGGAAAAATAAGGCTTTAGTACTTCAAAACAACAACCTACCGGGCACATTCCCGGAAAAGAAATATGGGCCCAAGATTTTCTGGCTTTTTAATCTGGCGCAAACCATCAGTATCACCCTGTGGTGTATACGTGATACGGTAACTTTGCGTGGGTTGCTGGTAGCCCAAGAGTAATGTTTCATTGTTCCATGCAGATGAAACAATGCCTCATCTGTAAAGATAACAGAACGAATAGCCCCGTGATCCAGATATTAGCGGCAAACGTCATGCCGCTTCTCCGGATCGCAGGGTTCAAAACCTGCACTTGAGGAGCACGGAATGTTCCAAACGTTCGTTCCTGTACTATCCGGTGTACCGCATATCGGGTCGTGTCACAGTGCTGTGCGGTCCGACGAATGCTGAGATCGAGACTTTTAGACACTTCGCTGACTACAGCGCAAACTGAACAGTCGTCCGTGGTGAGGCGAGGCGGTCCAGTTCTCTTCATGTCACACACACCCAATTTGCTCGAACTGCTTCACACTTTTAAGCACGTACCGGGCGATGACGGGACGCATTGTTGCTTTCATTGTATTGTTTTTTCTTGCTGCTGATGTGGCATCTAAACCGCATTCACTGTACAGCCGAATAACCAGCGCGCGCTGAGTAACAGGCACGTTACATGATCCCCACTGCATTGTCTGCTCGTGCTCCCTTGCCTGTGATTCAATAACGTTGACGAGCGTTGCAATGCCTACCCTCGCTCTCAGCTGAGCTGCCATCACGTGCGTACATTCACGCCGCAGTTTTGGTTTCCTAGACCGAGTGCGATGCGTAGCCAGGGAGACACACTGAGATAACCATCTATCGCCCCAACGCTTACGGTTGGCCATGACCTTCCGCACTCAGCGCGAAGTTAGCTGACAGCTAACGCACGCCGGAAACACGTTTTGACTGTCTGTACTCATCTCGCTCAATGATCAAAACAGCTTCATGTCGGTGCGTCTTTAGAGTTTACGCCTTTTCTTATATGAGCCCTGCACTAAATCACTCGTCTGCCGAGAATTCCATATGTCCTCCACACTAAGGTGAGAGAGCAATTCATGTCTCTGCATGTTGCGAATTTCGCTAGACATTGGATGGCTATTACAGGTTAGGGACAACAACCGTAAATGGCCGGCGTTCACCATAAACGAGCCACAGTAGGTAAATGAACGCTCATCGGTCTTCTTCCTTTAGACTAGCCGTAGTGTTGCTAACAACATCCTTGTGGTCGCACTGCTAAATTTGGAGGCTGAAAAGAGACAAACTCTGTGGATTGATGGAACATAGTGCAACTAAATTTTCACGAGTATTACTGGTGTGCAGTTTGAAGTGGCCAACACTCTAAAGCAGAATCCTAATCTTATTGGAGCAATAACGACAAACGGTCTTCTAGGGTACGATATTATGAGAGGGAGTTACAAGAAGGAAAAATGCGCGGAGTGTATACCTCGAATGGTTGGTAGCAAGCGTTGTATTTTTCTCGACATTTGGCTCCTCATTCGTGATAATGCACCATGACCTAGCTATCTGGAACGCCTATAACAACAGGAACCGTACCATTCAGGCAGCTTTCTGCATCTTACTGCTTATTCGCCGTGAAGGGCTACAAATCTCGTGGACTGCAGTTTCCTGACTTGCAACTCACTTATAGTCAACTAAAATGATGTTGTATGATGTGAACTGGTGTTGTCACTTTTATATATCCCGAAACCACGATTCCGACATCTAAGGATGGACGATGGCGCTTAAGCAATTGTGATGTCCATCTGTGTTTAAATCCAACAGTCCGTGCTCAGTGGCGTGGAAACTACTTTTGCCGCCCGAGGCGTGGTAAACTTAGCACTCTTACTGCGGGCCTCATAGGCGCGTGAAGGCCGAACGATCGGTAACGAGCAAACTATTTTTCGATGAAAACTACTTTGCGCTTGGGACCTTGAGGTGAATATGTTGATAGTGGCCACTATGGAACAAATAAGAGGATCACTGGGAAAAACATTTGCACAAGTGTGACACATGGCGCAAATGTGCGGTTGATCATACAGAGTAACATTAAGATCTTCAACCCACAGCTTATCCGGATAATTTGTCCTTTATATTTGGTGTCCAACATAGGACGGTAATAAAACTGCGGCCCCGTGTCACGTACCGTCATGGGTAGGCCGCCTACCTGCTCCCATACTGCATCTGTAGACGAAACAACTAAACGTATTCAGTGGATAGTCATCTATTCGTATACATAATGCAAACCCCCGTCATTAAGCACGATCACGTGTTGTGAGTCCAGGAACGACACCATAACCCACGCATCGATAGTCGCTCATCTAAACTCAAACCGAGTGCACTGAAAACCAAACCGTTTACACCGGAGCTGCAACACGTTTAACGACGATGTAGCTGAGGTTCCTGATGGAAAACACCTGGTTGTATTTGCCAGTAAACCATGCGAAATTTTGCCCGATTGCAATTAACGACGTGTGGTGTCTGCTCGTTTTCCTGCGAACAACACTGGAACAAAGTTTCGACGGATCGCTCGCCTAATATAATACGCGTCATCTCGAGAGTACCCAGTGGCGTAGCAACTGCTTTTCCGCCAGTGGTGATCATTTGATCTCAACTCCCCTGGCATTTGCAAGTCCTTAAACCCTTATAGTTGAGAACAGCCCTTCAATATATCGTTTCATGGAACAACAATCAAAAGTCCAATTTGTTCTATACTCGTGTACAAACTTTGCAAACCCATTTCATATGCCTTGCTCGTTGCAAAATTATCAATTACACTAACAAAATGCATTGCGTCGGCAAATACCCTCTCTATGGAATTGCCAATTTCATGAGCGCTCTCTTGTTCACTGCTGATCGAAGATAGTTCTTAATAGGCCTGAGTTTTGAGTAATACTGCCCAAACCTGGCAGTGCTAGTTGCTAGGCCACAATATCCAGCGTAAATTCGTTAAGCTGATAATTCGGTATAAAAAGAAACTTCCAAGGGTCTATTGATTTTGTCATTTCCTGAAACTTTCATACAATACTTCCATCTCTTTTCGGCAAAGATTTTCTTTTTGATATTTTCCTCAACTTCGCTAAGCGGACTGTTATATTTACCGGCGTAAGAAAAGCATATGTGTTTGTGAGGTAATTGATTTGCTGAAATCCACTCCATATTTCATCCATCATTAGACACACAGCATTTCCCGTTTCAACTCACCATCAAATCTTCTTGATGTATCAAAAAATTCTTCACAATCCATTCGTTTCATTCTGCGAATTCGATATCACACTCAAGAAGGGCAAACCTCAGGAGCACCCGTTCAGCACGGAAACAACCGAGTCTTCACGAGACGCACAACGAGAGTTCTAATCGCCATAAATGCAGACAGCTCACAAAGGCCACAGTCTGTAAGCGAGTTCACACAGGCACTTGCATCTAACTGTGATGTGGTCGCTGTACAGTCTTATCTGGGCGTTAACGCACTACCTGCACGGGTAACTGCTATAGGGAGCGCATTGTAACGGAACAGATGTGTGCAAAGGCGATAAGTAACGGATGGCAGGCAGGTGTGGCAGATGGCGCAAATGTCTCTCTGGTTATCCATAACAATATTACCATATTCAATTATCGGCTTATATGGAAATTTGGCCTTTTACGCTTAGTATCGAACAATCATCTGTACTAAGCATGCCACCCCTGACTCATGCCGTCTGGGGCGGACCGTCCCCTCTGGCTACGCCACTGGAGCAGACACAACATTTATAGTCCAATATCCCTCTCGCAAGTGGATTCATCAGGAATATGAACCTTAACCAATGTGATGTTGTCCGCCACAGTCTCTTATAAAACGATCATACTACGTTGGGATTCATGTAAATCTAAGTACTCACATGAACCGTATTGTATGCCATTACACTGCCGTTACACTCAGCTGAGCAAACACCTTGTTGTAAAATCTGATGCTGCTCCTCTAGTGCTCGAACTAGTCGGAGTAACATTACGGAGCAAGAACGCATCCATATAACCAGCTCCTTGCCGATAAAACATTCACTCCACCAGCTGTCACTCGAGGTTTTTCTATCGGAAAGGAAAGAATGTTGTCTTTAAAGTCAACGGAAAGGAGTTTCACTCTGGTTCATATGGCTAACATAGTGAGTTTACTGTCAGCAGCACGCAGACGGAGAAAATGGATGAATATTTTTACTAAATGTGCAATGAGTAAACATAGCCCCTGCAACAGCATCGTGCACACTGCGTTACAGTCGATATTCATATCTTCCTCCTCTTTGTCACATGAACGGTAACTCCGAAACGATAACGGATGTCAGCATCCCTCTCTCCTAAAGCGGGACAACTACTGCAGCACTTGATTATCTTTAAGGTAGTACGATAAACACTACAATGATACAATGGTTTATGACGGGTAAGAAAAGCACAGACTTAACATGTACTGTAGGTTGATAATAGAAGGAATTTCCAATTCGAATATTGGATTAGTGAATCAAATAAAATACGCTTTGGTGAGACGATAGAGCAATTGTGTATAGAAGGTGAGCTGTGGGAGTGATTAGTATCAGGTAAAAGGCAATAACACGCTGTTAGGATTGATCTCATTGCAAATAACAAGCAGATTGTTTATCCCTCTGCACAGATTTACGTGCGTCACTGTGGGTCACGATTGCAAAGAACCTAGTTAGTCTGAATATATCTGTTCATATAACACAGCGTAGGACGTTCAGTTCGTTATCCAATCTTTTTTAAACATAGCTAATGTGTGGGCTTAGACAACGGAGCATGGAAGAAGGCTCCAGGGTTGGCAAAACTGTAAGGAGAAATAGATTCTTTGACAATCTAGACGACTGTACTGTTGACTCAGTTCATGGTAATCGCCTCTGAGATCGGTGTTTGGCTTGAGTTTCAGTAGATGGCGGCATACATTACTGGGGTTGCTCAGTATTTAGTAAACCAATATGTGGTCTCAACGTAACCGCCGGTAGAGTCCACTAAATATTCCGAGTGACTTCAGTTGTTGCTGGTACGGAAGGTGGCGCAATCCCTTAATATATTTAGTTGATCGAAGTTGGGAGTTTCGGGCGCTGCTGGGTCACGCTTTAGCCAATGTTGCCAAGGGTAGATTGCTTATTCCACGTGGGGACGTATGTAACCACTGTGCATCATGAGAATACGGATGAACCCAAACTTCCGAATGCTCTCTGCAAGAGTTCAACATGCTAGTTACATCTTTCTGAAGCGGACTCTGACTGTTTGTTAATACCGAGGTCGTCCTGTACTAGCACACTGAGATCACGTTCCTGAGGGCTTGTCCGCAGATAGTGCATCCCGTTTTTAGATGTAGGCGTGTGGATGGCGCATGGGGAGAGCGCGGTACGTACGTCACCAACCAATGCTAGGCCTCATCGAGATCGCGTTAGAGGATCTCGTGGTCGTTTGTTCCCTTGATTTACCCTCCAAATCTTAACGTCGTCTCGAGCAGTAGATATTTTGCGGTGCTAACTCTCGTTACGGAATCTGTGTGTAACTCACCCGTACTTGGTATCTGTTGAGCTTCCTGATAATCCGTTAATAAAACGGACTGATTGGGTACGTTGTGATAACATTATACGTCTCAATTGTTCATTTGTTCTCCGAGCTTGGCAGTTTGGTTGAAAAAGTTTCACTACCATGCGAGGTGGCATCCTCATTGCCGCATCTCACTGCCCTGAGAATGCCACCTCGCATGCTGGCGAAACGTTTGCAACCAAACCGCCAAGCTCGGAGAACAAATGAACAATTGAATCATCAACCCGAGCTACCAATATACCGAAACATTATACGTCTTTTCCCGGGCTATTACTAATTAAAACTGTCACATTTGTAAAATTTGTATGCACCAAGGACTTTGCTATGCGCATTCTACAAGCGTGTTCACTGTGCTTTTCCGCTGCTCCCATCGCACAGTCATTCAAGACATTGAATATATGAATTAAGGCCAGCACGACCCTCATCGAATGATGCTTTCGTCAAACCCATTAAATATAATCTTTGAACTAGATAGATGAACATTGTGTTGCGCGTCGCAAATCATCCACACATACAGTACTTAACAATGTCACACCGATCAGTTTTGTTATTTCTTTTCTGTGGAGATATGTTGTCTGACCAGCTTCAGCCGCATTTGGCAAACCTTCGGAATGCCTGCTGGGTAACGACGTATAAAAAACGAATGTAAATCTACTGCTTTAGGGACAATTATTTCTTTGTTATTATCCCTCTCTCAACTTCAGTTTGAATAAGTGTTTGGTGGAAACTTGTAACTTTCTTAAAAGTCTAAAATATGGACACTTGGAATAATTGTTACGGCTGTTACCACGCTTGATAAAGCGATAATAAACAAGTATTTGAAAGTATGCATCGCAAGGGGTTTCAAAAAGATTATAATGAAGTTTGATACACAAAGCAATGCAATGAGTTGTAGAGTACTACCGATTTCTCAAATGCAATGGTTGGAAGCTGCTAATGTGGTAGATTCCTGGAATGTAGTACACGGTGGTCGGCTGGAGAGATTAGAAAAGGCTGTCTGAACGGTGGATGAGGCCTACTCCACACCGCCTTTACAAAACGGATGGGATGGCTCGAAGTTCTGAGAATGGGGGATTATTTTATCTTAGTTTTTTAATTAATGAAACGGAAATGGACCAGTCACTAATCTATAGGCTGGTGCTGTGGATAAACCAGTCTCCACTGAGTAAAGCATTCGCTGATTTTGTAAACTTGCTGTTGGATTCCATACGTATTTGCACTGGTCTAGCAATAAGTGTTACCCTTGCAGGTCAGATGGTGAAGATCTTGAGTATACAGCCTCATAAATTGCCTTGAAGTAAGGTATAAAGCAAGAAACTTTTGTAAAATGTTAACACTGTGGTGCACATCGTGATGTAGTGGAAAATGAGGAGTTCACGGGACTGACGGTAAGCTGCGGGTCACTAAATTAACCGCTCCGCTAGTGGCTGCTCCGCCTTTTCGGCAAAAGGTACTGCATAACGCTCGTTTTCAGATAAGAAATTTAGTGTCAAATAGTTAAAGAAAAATAAAATTGCTATTTAGCCGTAGTATGTCATTATTGAGTGCCGGATAACATCAGTCCAAGTTCGGTTCCTCGAATTTTCCTTTACAGACAAGAGCTCCTAATTCGTCTACAGGCAGCTATTGGCCCACGTCACGTTCTCTTCAGCTGTGCTATTCACGGCACTCTGGGAATAGCCGTCTTTCTTGCGAGAGAATTGATCTGGTACACCTCAGGTAAGCGTACATCCTTTTTACGCACCTTTGGTACACCATTTCAAGCGTTTCGGCCCGAACTTAAGCTTCTGTTGTTGACTAGGCGTGCTTGATGGGGTTTGGCTTACGCACAACAACCAACACATAAAATTGTTAGTCCCAACTAGCTGGTCTTTCGAGGTCAAGTATGCCAAAAGGTAAATTCACTCCCAACTTTAAACCGATGTTGATAAAGGGCTATGACTTCTCAAAAGTCGTTAAAAATTGCCAAAATATTAGCTTTGTTTCCCAAGTTAAAAGCAGCAGTTTTTTGTCCCCACACTACACATACGTACGCCTAAAGCATGTGAACAAACTGGCATACAATAGTGGCTCCTGAAGACCGACGCTTGTTTATAACCAACGTTTGTGTATTAGTGTGTGGTGTGTTGCAAAGTCACCCTATTTTCTATCCTCTCAGTTCCTCAGACCGCCGGTGTCACCACACGGACTGCAGTGAAGACGAAGGGGGCTGCAGCCGTTTGCTTCATTCTCTTCGGATCATCTTTCCTATTTCTGTCCAGTCACTTTAAAGGTGAGTCAGTGTGCAGAACATCGTGCAGTGGCATTGACTGGAAACACACTGATGTTTTTAATCCCGGTGGTGTGCATCTCGTTAAGTTCTGTGTAGTCTGACCTTAATATTTTCTTCTCAGAACCAAGTCAGGATGTAACGGGCTACTTTGGATTCTTGCGCAGCTATTTTCGCTGACCTAATGGTCGTTAAACCCAGCATCAAGTTGACTTAAAGCAGGTCGCCTACTAATTTATTATTTTGAATCCGGGAGTATCTACATGCGAAATAATCATTTAAACTTCATGGGATAGTTTAGCGCGGTCTTGCTTTAACCTAAGGAAAGTGGTCTTCCTAGAAAGCAGGTTCTATAGTCTAAAGTTCCCGGACCCTCAAGAGGAAGCTGTTTCCTTGAATCTGTTGCTTTAAAATGAGAAACAAGGTTCCTCAGACTGGGCTGTCATAAACATGTCATCAGATACTCTCTAATTAGTCATGGATCATCTGTTGGCAACCTACCACATGGCGACAAAATTTCAAGACGCTGGCTTCTAGTTTATCTGTTGTCGGCCCAGTACGTCTTCTGGGCTAGGGACTCAGAGATGAAGAAGATAGCTGGTTGGAGACTCTTGAGGATATGGCGCATAATCGCGCACATTGGAAGGCATGCATGAATTATTGTTTGGATTCTATTGATAAACACGGTAATTTCTAAACTGAAAAAAGAAACAACGGCATGTGCAAAATGTTCTTTTTTGTTTTTCATCTCCTGCTCTTTGTACTTATTACACACACTCATACCATGATTTCTCCATGGTTATATATATATATATATATATATATATATATATATATATATATGGTTGTCGGCATCCGGTTTCGGATTTGCCTGTCACTGTGGACGGCCACAGGACGCCTGCGCCTACAGAGGGACCATGGATGGCTTGCGCTGCACCACCCACAGCTCCAACCACACACCCCATATCCAGTGTAAACCCGAAGGAATAAGACCGGGAAGCATGTGGATGGGAGCCACGTTTCATCAACGGAGCCGGCCCACACTCCTTCACAGACAAACACAAGCACGCTGTATTTGGGGAATCAAGCGCACACAAGGCGGTGGCTGGACCGTAGTCCGCTCCACATTGAGTGCATGGAACCACTCTTTGATCCTAACACGGCCACAAGGACCGGGCACCCCGTCCCCTCCAGCAACGGCCAACTGTCTCCTGGAGACAGTATAGACGAGGTAGTGGGTAAGAGACAGGTAGGCACCTTGTCAACCTGCACATCAACCGCAGCCACACCGAGAATATCAAGCAACAGCCAGTCACTTGAGAGCAAGATAACAAAGAAAATAAATAGAGTGATGCATAAGGAAATGGTGGCATAAATCTTAACGAGCATATGAAATAAGTTGTTTACAAAAGAATCCTAGATAAGTGCACGAGGTCAGAAGGTATATTTTACGGAAATGCCACAAACATGAAAATGTTATTGAAAGTAACTACACTTGGTTTCAGCGATGCGTGCAAGTTTATAGAAGAGAGTATAGGTAGATTTATATGAGAAAGAAAAGCATTAGGACACAATTTCAAACCCACCACTTGAAATAAATAGACTTAGCATGCAAGCAGGCGGTTGGTAAATCGAATGCAACGTACCTAGAAACGCTACGCCGGTTCTGCCTACGTTCTCTGCAGAACCCGTCATTGCTTCGGTCCCGAGTGGCCTCGCTCATGCCTCACTAAGCCTGTCTGACTCAGGCACTCGCGACCGCATGGGCTATGGCACCATGCGCTCGATGTCGATGGAGAACAACCCATCGGTGCTTGCCGCTTCCGCACTTGCCGCTTCTTCTCTGCATTTATAAGGTCTTTCTCTCGCCCTTCGGTAACTGACTTCGTGATTAGATCGCGTTTTGCACGCCGATCAACCGCCTTCGATTCCCATGATTTGCAATCAAGATTAGAACGTGAGAGGCTCACTTTGATTATATATATATATATATATATATATATATATATATATATATATATATATATATATATATAGTCGGGGATCATTAGAGGCAACAAAGGGAGGACCAGCAATACGCTTAATCGTCCCAATGGTGTTCTTTGCATTCGATCAGTAGCACCAACCAGGTCCCGTCGGATTGTGTGCTGTCTTTAGCATATTGGGTTATTTCCTCTTGTTGATCACGGCTAACGAAGTCGCCAAAGATGCGGCTACTGTGTGCGCTTGATTTGTTGCAATATTCCCTCCAAGTTATATCAGGTGAATCTCCGTCGCAATTTGTGTGGAAATTGCAGGAAGAGTGCAGCCCGTTTATTTCCCTATTCGTATCCATCTAGGTGACAACCACGATTAGTATCGATACAAATTAGACAAGCTTTGTGATTCGCAGTTCCCTTGACAATGGTAGCCGCTGTGGGCACTCGTGGAAAGTTCACAAATTACAAAACAACGAGCAGTAGTCTGGACTCGGGGCTTTATGCTGTACGGACCATAAACACAACTTTTCCCCGGTCAGCTTTGTTTTTACAGTGAATACTTGCTCTTCATCTGCCCATCAAGGAGGTTGATGTCGATATTTTTGTCTTTAATACTGAGCTCACTTTTCCAAGGCGTAACATGATGGTTATGGTCATATGCAATACACGAGTTTGTTGGACTGGAACATCACGAACCACGCATCATTGGCCTATTCGTATAAGTCAGAAACCAAATCAACTCAACATAGACTTTTTGTGCATTCAGATGGGTGCACTTTCGGATCCCAAACGATACAAGATCAGACAACAGCTTGAACCGAGAATATAAGAACCTTGTCAGTTCGATGCGTTGAGAACTTGAGAGTTATGGCTAAGCGAGAGTTAATCATCTGTATACCAGATAAAGGTTCTGGCATAGTTCTAATAGGTCGGGCGGATTAGGTCAATAAGAAGCAAAATCTTCTTAGCGGCGAACGTAAATTCCAAAAGCTAACAACAGAGAAAGATAATACAGAAGAGTTAGAAGCGCAAGCACAAGTTTGCTCAGATACATGACGCAAGCGAATGTTAGCACGAAATTCGCTTTTGGAAAGCTAAGGCCTTAAGGCGGACACCTGCCGCGGTTCTACGGTCTCCTTAAAGCTTACAAAGAAGGCGTCCCATTGTGTCAGATATTGTACTTGTTTAATCTTTTCCAGCATTTGGTAGCTGATTGAATGGTTGAGAAGTTGCAACCGCAGCGGCGTGCTATTTGCACATATTGCGTGAAGGATAGTTTGAAGCATATTGAGAAGACCAAGGACCGGAATCTTACCAAAAGTGGATGCCATCATTCAAGGTCTAGTCATTGTTTACGAATACTCCGTTGTTTGAAACGGTGGATTACATTTGTGAACTAGTACAACTACAGGACATACCCTTAAATCTCCCGGAAAAGCTGCTGAGTATATTGTTACTTACGTGCACCTTATAAATGTGGTTTACCTTGAATGGGGAGCTATATCATCGAATTGATGGAGTTGCCATGGAGTCAATGTTGGGTCCCTTGCTGGTAGATGCCTTTAGGGCGAAATTGGGGCATAGCTCACTAAGATCATAAAATAACGAAAGTAAAATGTTTATATGCTATGTGGATGACACCATTATGCTTTGCAGATGGAAAGCACTGGTTTTGAAGCTTTTGAATGTTTTATCGACGCTCAGCTGTGTGACTGATGCGCTCTGATTTTGCCGCAGAGTCAAAGCATTTTCAATAGTGTATTGTGTTGTTGTGTTCACCCGAAAGTGCAAAATTAACTGATACAATTGAACAGACGGCGATCCTCAATGCTTCACTAATGCAATCGAAGTAAACCGATCCGCCCCACCACCTATCCCCTGTGAGCTCCGTCCCTAGGTCAAAAAATCAATTCAGCCATGCAAACCACCCCAGGGTGTTTGCACCAATCACCCTGACACATGTTAACCCCCTAATCGAACAAGTCACTTTCGACGCGACTGCTTTCAACCGGTCCCTGGATGCTACATCTAACGAGTCGATCACGACATCGGCAGCTCGGAGCCGGGCAACGTACACAACGGTCGCCTCTAGAAAAATGCCCGAAGCGACAAACGCATGCCTATCTTCTGCACCGAGCACGAGCGATGCGACACAGCTTTCACGACCGTCTCCAATGCCTGCTAAACAATCCAACTCATCAGCCAAAACTCTCAAGCTGGCGTTTGCTAGACAGAACCACAGTGCGTTGACTCTCGCGTGCACTAACGTTCCAGAGTCCAAATCGCACAATAAGGAGCAAGTCCCTCTATGATCGCAACAGGTGGTCTTCCATGTGCGGCGCAATTGATACTCAGGTTGAGCCCAAATGCGAAGCGCGTAGCGCGTCACCCAACCTCAGTGCACTACGGCGAACCTCGAGATCTTCGAGTCTCTGAACTCAGTAGATGAGACAGAGAATGTTGAGCTCTCAGCACTTCGTCTTCGCAAATAAGTAACTAAAATAATTAACTTCGTATATTTATTGACAAGCGAGACCGAATATTCGTACCCAGAAGTAGCGTCATAGTTTGCGTGGCTGAAAACAACAATAAACTAAAAGATGAAACATGGAATATCCGATGATGAATTTTCCCTCGGATCATCGACTCAAACACTCAATGTGCAAAACTTATGAATACCAAATTATCTAGGTAGCGAAGCTCTGGAGCAGTCAAAGCTAGAGTAGGGGAGAGTAGGTTGCACAGGCGCCTGCTTAATTTCATGAGTAATTACAAATAGAACGTAAGCTGACTGTTGGCTACTGTGAACTCATTTGTTGTTTAGACCAGCTTCCGTCAATGTTTCTGGTAATTTTGTGAGCTGTTTTTAACACATTCGAGATAGTGGGGAAAGTCTCTAGAGAATTTTGGAATGTGTCGCTGTCAGCAGTCCTGTGTACTTTTCGTGGTAGTCGGTTCCACAGATTGGCATATCACCCTAAAAAGAACTCGATCAGATGTTATAACTAAAAAGCTGTGAGGGAA